TATTCAATTACTTCTTGGCTGTTTGTAACAACAGAATCGAAAGACAGTATTTCAAGACCAGGTAACCTGACGGATATGTTTTAGATGTGGGGTTGGCAAATTCCCCTACCCCTCAAACATCTACATCTCTTTAGCCCTTCCGTAAAGAAAATTTAGATTTTGTCAGGACTGTAGTTTGATGAGAGCAGTTTGGCTGAGATTTTATAGTAATTTCTTTTTCAATTTTACTACATTGTCTTTCAGATGACGTTGACTCGTGTCATATTGGAGAACATGGCGGGTTTCTGAAGTACAGATGCTCAAATGACAGATGGGGCGGAGAGAAGTACAAGTGCCATGCTTCTGAAGAGTTTTATCACCTTGGCACTAAGTTCTGGCCGAATAAACATGGACAAGCTTGCTCTGAGGATCCGTACTTTTACCAAGCTTGTGACAGAAGAGTTGCAGGATACAGCATAACGAACAGGGACAGTGATGATACATTATGTGGCAACCAAATGTGTGAGTTTAACGGTAACCAAAAAGGAGGTGATCCTGTTGTAACCCTCACAGATCTGAGGACATGGGGATGGGTTTGTGACGGTGTTCAAGACTGCACAAACACAGACTTCGATGAGACTGGGTGTTCAAATACGACAACCTTGCCAACTGGACTAGTGGTTCAGTCTAAGTTCGTCTGTAACGATAGGTGTGAGGTTGAGGACTGCCAGGATGAGGCTATATGTAACGGCCTAACTTATGGAATGTATTGCACATATTTTGGGGAGTCTGTATACCTTAACCCATATTCAATATGCGACGGAGGGAGAGATTGTGACGACAGAGCAGATGAGGTCAACTGTACAGTTACTGTAAATACAAGGAACAAATGTGTGCAATCCTTTTCGAAAGCTGTGGTGCCAATCCACAATTTTACGAAATGTGTGACGTTGAATCAGATGACAGAATATAAATATTATATTTATTGCACAGACATGAAGAAAGTTCAAACAAATTGCACAGATCCAGCTAGGGTTGGAGCTACGTGCAACATAAACGGATTCAAATCTACTGTTTCCAAATACATGATCTGTGCTGTGGGCGTATCGATATGTGATGATCGTATTGAAAGTCAATGTCTCAACATTTCAAAATCCTGCTACACTCACAAACACATGATGTGTGACAACAAACGTTTTTGTGATGACAACGCTGACGAATTACATCCAATATGTCTCAGTCAAACCAAAAACACCTGCGAAAGAAAAGTTGGAAAAGCAGGTGAGCTGACATTGCCTTTAACCTGGTTAAGTGACGGTGTACAAGATTGTATTGATGGAAGCGACGAATTGGCGATTTGGCCGACATGTGGGAGGGGCAAGACATATAGATTGGTTACCAGCAATACAACCTGTGAAAATGTTTTTGTGTGTCTCTCTGGAGATGGCGGCTATGTGGAATTGAATCAACTTTGTGACGGACTTGAAACGTGTGGAAACGAGAACAAGATTTGTTCATTATCTAGAAGTTCCCAAACAATATCCACATCTGTCTCCAGTTCGAAGAATGGCCTCCTAAAAAACCTGGCATACTGCATGAAAGGACTCAGAAGCATCGCAAGCCTCGACAAGGTTAACTGCGTGAAAGAACTCTTCATTTTTCCTGATCATGAATATTTCGGGGTGAGTAACAAAACAGAATTACATCTCCAACAAAATTCGCAACAAAACTGTGACCACATTTACGGAGAGCAGTATGTGTTCACCAGTTGTATGCATAGATGTATGAACTCCTCTTGTCCACTCAAGAATCATCCAAGATATGAGGTTTGTCCTGATCAATACCCAGACAGAATAGGAACTATTGCCAACAACGAATACCTAGCCTTCTTTACCAAGTCTCAAGGAAATATCTATACTAACAGATATTTCGTGTGCGACAATAAGATCAGGTGCATAGACTACTCCCAGGTTTGTGATTTAGTTGATGACTGTGGAGATGCATCTGATGAGACATCGTGTACTAACCATTTCAAATGCAATTCCTCCGTTCGTTTCATACCAAAAACTAGTAAATGTGATGATAATTTTGATTGCTTAGATAAGTCCGATGAATGCAATGAGCAGTGCTCAAGACAAATCCTAGACAGTTCTTTCCTTAAAGTAACCACATGGCTCATAGGAGGACTCGCAGTCACTACAAACCTGATTGTCATAATGAGAAACACCGGAGCTTTACAACTCTGCAAAACAAGTGTTGCTTTATATAATAAATCTCTGATTATTCTCATATCTTTTGGTGACCTTTTGGTTGGATGTTACTTATTAGTTGTAGCAACCTACGACACCATAATCTTTGGAAAGACTTATTGTCAAAATCAAATTGAATGGATGACCAGCTACCAATGTTCCACAATCGGGGTTCTCAGCACAATTGGATCGCAAGTTTCCCTTTTTGCAATGGTAGGTTTGAGTATAGTCAGATTTAATGGCATTAGACACTTACTAAGGGTCCCTGGGGAAGTTAACCGTGGAAAATGCCTCAGAGTCGTCCTTGGAGTGTCCTTTATATTCATGATATCTGCAGCTATTGCAATTTCGCCGATAATCAGTGGTTTAGAAGATTTTTTTGTCAATGGACTCAAGTTTCCTGACCAGCTTCAGTTATTCATCGGAACTCCAAACAAACAAAACATTCTTCCAGTCATTGAAGCGTACTATGGACGGATGAAAGAAAATACCCTTAGTTGGGAAATGATCCTCACGATGGTCAGCAACATGTTCTCCCATGATTTTGGATATGAAGATCATACTTTGATGGTCACTAAACTCGATTTCTACGGAAATGATGGAGTGTGCCTTTTCAAATATTTTGTGAAGAAAGATGACACCCAAAAATACTTTGTGTGGTCTACCCTCGCAGTTAACTTTATCTGCTTTATCTTCATATCTTTATCTTATGTTCTTATCGGTCTTGTCTCGAGAAACTCTTCAGAAACTTTAGCATCTTCACTGGATAATAATAAATTCCATAAAAGAAACCTCAGAACTAACAGGAAAATCGCAGTTATCATTACCACCGACTTTTGCTGTTGGGTGCCTTTCATAGTGGTTTGTGCCTTACATTCTTTGGAAGTTTTAGATGCCACTCCTTGGTATGGCATCTTTTCCATGATAATCCTACCCATCAACTCTGTGATCAATCCTTTACTCTACGATGATGTTGTGGCAGACGTGCTCCAGGTACGTTTTCATATAATTTCTGCTAAAATCGTCAACTCAGCAATTTACGCAAGTGTTATTAAACACTTCTATAGTTATAGATCACCAGCTATGGTAATTGAAATGGATCGAATAAACATCCGAATAGATGCGAGTGGAGCTGACAGTGGTGTTGAAGAAAACAAAAATATCATAACAAAGAACGATGTAGAGAAAGATATAGCGAAAGATACAGAGAAAGATATAGATAAGGATATAGATAAAGATCTTGGTGATCGTGAGAACAGGGGAAAAGTTTATAGAGGCAGAAATATATCCTATGTGAATAAAGTTGCTGTTGGTATCAAAACCCGGAACAGAAATGAAGAAAGCCACGGGAATGGATCTGCAGAAAAAGGAACAGAGGTGCATATTCAAGAGGATTAAAGGATAAAAGTCTTGCACAATCCAACATAGAACATTGCTAACATCATTATTCATTATGGGTAATTGAGTAATCTTAATTTTAGATTGTAATTTAAAACTAATACTGACAGTATTAGTTTTAATTATACTGAATAAAACATAAGTTGTACATTATTACACTGGGCCACCCTGTATACTCCGAATTCGATACTGGATAAGTTTGCTCCATAAACCAATAGATCATGTACGTGCGTGCTGTAGACCATGTGCTTCTGCGCGAACTCGTCAATAATAATATATTCGGCGCTGCGCGTTCCTGAAAATGTTCGCCACTGCTGCCCAGCAGAGGGGCAGAGGAGGCGTTCTCAGTTTTAGAGGCGATGTTTTCTCTGTATTTTTGGCACGCTCGCTACAGACTATTATCTATATCTGGCCGTTTTAGAGTGATTCAGTGAATGTGTCTGGTATATAATGATTATAGAAGTTTCTATGAGGTAAACCAATAATATCAAATCGTAAAGTCGTAAAGTAAACAAGCAACGGGTTTTACTAAAATTGTGACGCAGCTTGCCCTCATTTGTGGCCCATTTGCCCCCAGCCGTTTCATAGTGGTTCAGTTTATGTGTTTGGTATACGATGATTACTGTAGTTGCTATGAAGGTAAACCAGTAACATTATATCTTAACCCATTAGGGACGACGAGTTTTAAAGTTTGCCGATTTTAATGCCATTTCACACACAAGGTCACTTTACAGCAAAAATGAGATATCCAAAAAAGCTAATCTGTATCTTCGTTACTTTCATAGATATAGCGATGGTCGCATGCGACCCACTCGTCCGGGTCGCAAACGACCCACTTTGTTTTTCGTATATTACTCGTGAAACAAAGCCGTAAGGAACAAATAAATGATGTAGAATACATTAAGAACATATAGTTAATACTGTGCGATTCAAAATATTGAAAATTACTGAAATTGGGTCATTAATGACCCACTCGGCACACTTGCTAATCTTTATAAATTGTCTTGTAACTGCTTGCATACAGTCTAAAAAAGGAAACACAAATACCGAATCGCTTCTTAGCGAGTGATTATCATACTTAAACAACCATAAATTAAAAAAATCAATTACATATGGGTCATTAACGACCCACTCGGACAAAGTCAAGAAATTGATAAGAAAAAATGTTATGAAACGTTCGGAAATGTCAAATAGTAATACTAGAATAAAAACTTGTTATTAAAATTTAACAAAATATGTAAACTGGGTCAATAACAACACACTCGGAAGTCGGACCATAATTTTAAACAGTCTCATACTGATCCACTACCATGGAATGCTGCAAAACAGTTTGAATGCAACTTCACTGCACACTTCGAACATTCGTAGATGGTCTTACTCTTGCATAGACCACATCTCGTTCTCTTCCCTATCGTTTTTTTTATCAGATGACCTATCCCGTCGTAACGCACACTTTCTGGGGGTCTTTGAATTAAATAATAGTCAATTAAAATAACAAGCAATGTACTGTTAATCGGAAATGTTAAACAAATTTATAAAGGACCAACACTTATTACGATTATTATTTAATGAAGACCCACCAGGAACCCGAGCTGCAACTCCTTTACAGGGGTACAAGTTGTTCGTCTTTCCGCGTTTCCTTGTCGTCTTGTACAAGGTCAGGTAGGGGCAAACGATGCTTCTGATGAAGTCGAGGAATGTGTTGCTGGCGCTAGAATCAGCATACCTGCTCAGCTTCCAGGCATTATACGTGGAAACTTGCAGAATGTACGAGAAGAGTGGCCAATACCATTTCCGGTTCCGTATGACAGGTCTGTAAACATTTATTGCCTGATCCATGTTATCAGTTCCCCCCATGTGTGTGTTATAGGATGTGATGGATTTAGGTCGGGGAACAGAAATCCTCTCCTTCTTCTCGGCAGACCATCTTTGACAGGTATCGGCAGGGGTGTCACAGTCAAAGTTTGAGCCGATGATCACTTGTTTATTGTCCTGCCACTTGGTGAGTTGAATATTCAGGTCCGTGTGTACAAAAGACTTGAATATACCTCTCCCAGCCTTCACCATCTCGTTATCGGTTGGAAAAGGGCAGAACTGAATCATTTTCCTAGTGAATGTTCCAGTGCATCCTATACCTTCTTGTCCGAGATGATACAACAACTTCGTTGAAGTGAAAAAGTTGTCAAGGTACACTTCGTAGTTTCCCTTGGGGAGATCATCCATTAGCCCGAGAACAACTCCAGGTCCATGGCCAAATGCCACCTGGTAATCGGACTGACTCCCCTTTCCTTGGTATATCTCGCAGTTATACATATACCCGTTGTCTAGGTTGAGAGACCACACTTTGTACCCACTTCTTATCGGTTTCATTGGCATGCGTTGCTTTAGGGCATTGCCAGACTTTCCAAAGTATTGCACCATTGATTCGTCTACATTGAAACATTTGGTGAGGACAGCGTTCTTCTGGAACCTTGACAGTAACATATTGTAAATAGGCCGGATCTTCCAACATCTGTCTGTTGTCGAACCATCAAGGACTGCATTGTCACAAAAGTGAATATACCGCAGCAGCTCCAAAAACCTATCCCGCCGCATAGCATCGGACACTAGGTTGTTGTGAACATCTTGTGTTTGCTCCCAGTACATTTTCATTCTTGGAAGTTGGTTGTACCCACTGAGGAGCAGTATCCCAAAGAAGCACCGCATTTCCTCGATACCCACATCATTCCACCTGTCTGCACCTTTCTGAAGAGCGTAACGATTAGTTTGTTGACAAATGAATGTGACAACGTCTTCGTCGAAGAACAGCTCAAACAGCTCGATGGGACTGAGTGTTGCCAGGGACAGTGGATCCTGATTTGTCGTTGGGCATTCGAATTCTGCTATCTTGCAGAGCAGCTCTGAATTTTCGAACTCATAGGACTCTTTCCACTTGTTCCTTTTTTGCTGTCGCTCCAGTTCTGCTTTTTCTGTGGCCCTTTTCTTTCTCTCAGCAACAGCTCGAGCAACAGCTTCCGGAGTTTTAGGAGCCTTCCCCTTTCTCTTCGGTTGACTTCGCTCTGTCGGCTCTGTTGGCTCTGTCACCTCCTCGATGATCGTGTCAATCTCTTCTTCCACAACGTTGGTCAGCCGCAGTTCTTCATCTTCGGGCGTTAAAATCACAAGTTCAAATCCAGCCTCGAGCTGACAAGTGTTCATATTATCGATACCCCCGCCGTTTGATTCTTCATCACCTGAGTCCTCGTCTGTCAGCTCTGCGATCGCAGGAGGGCAGATGAATAACTGTGCTGAGCTCCAATGGTTTTCTTCAAGGTAGTTTACGGCATCGTTTACTTTATCTCCTCTGGTCTTCCTGGGTCTCTTGCTAGGTATTGGCGAAAACGCTGGCTCAAGTTTAGCTCTCTTCTTATTCCTGGCGCTGACTCTACTAATTGGTGGTAATGAAACAGTAGACACTGAGGGGGGATCAGACATAGAGCAAGTAGCTGTCTTTCCTGCAGCAACTCTAGGCGACTTTCTCGACATGCTGTTCACTAACCGGATTATACCTGAAGGTTAGTTCTATTAAGTTCAAGGATCGAAATATATATATATTAGGCAAGAGTCAAACCAGTAATATGGGAACAAGCCAAAGTTATTTAATAACAGTGCTACTGCAAACAAAGCCGTTATATATTTTCAAGGCCTACCTGGTGGATAAGGGGTAGTAGTGTAGTGAACTGTACTCTCTGTCATTACCGTCTCCTCCAACATCACCTGGACTGTACTCTCTGTCTGCTCCTCATCTCCTATCGCCTTGACTGTACTGTCTGTCTGCTCCTCATCTCCTATCACTTTGACTGTACTCTCTGTCTGCTCCTCATCTCCTATCACCTGGACTGTACTCTCTGTCTGCTCCTCATCTCCTATCACCTGGACTGTACTCTCTGTCTGCTCCTCATCTCCTATCACCTTGACTGTACTGTCTGTCTGCTCCTCATCTCCTATCACCTTGACTGTACTGTCTGTCTGCTCCTCATCTCCTATCTCCTTGACTGTACTGTCTGTCTGCTCCTCATCTCCTATCACCTGGACTGTACTGTCTGTCTGCTCCTCATCTCCTATCACCTGGACTGTACTCTCTGTCTGCTCCTCATCTCCTATCACCTGGACTGTACTCTCTGTCTGCTCCTCATCTCCTATCACCTTGACTGTACTGTCTGTCTGCTCCTCATCTCCTATCTCCTTGACTGTAGTCTTCGTAGATTCAACAGTTACTGCATCAATCGTACCGGTCAAACTTTTCGAAAGATCTGCTACCGGAATGTCAACCCCTTTCCCATCCACATCGAATTTTACGTATGCTCTTCCATTTGATTTTGATATTGTGATGATACTTCCCCATAGCACAAGAATATCACAGGATAACGTGGCTGAGTAACTCGTTTCTTCACGATCGAAATAGTCTCGGGGAACTGATACCCTATCTCCTGGCTTAACAACCGTTCCTTCCTTATCCTTGTGTCCTCTGCGTCTTTTAGACATAATCTAAAGATAACTATCAAAATATATCACATTATTACGCCCTAATAACGCATTAAACGGAAAACAGACGTTTATAGACTCATGTACTTCACTTATGATACCGATACGATTTTGAAAATAACGAGAAATATTTTAGGTTAATCAGGCTTGTAGTTGTAAATATTTGCCGAGCGCTCTCGCGGGGGCCATAACCCCCTGTACTTTTTCTGAGATCCAACCCCAGCTTAAGGATTTGTATAAATTATAATGCAAAGAGAGAAACATTAACTTGAACCTACAGTACAAGCTCAGGAACTAATGTACGCAGAACGGTATCTCCCTGATAATCTGTTAAAGATTCAGAGATAAGAGATATTGTGTTCGAATATTTATATATATTTTAAAGATATACAATGGAAGTGAAACTATACTAAATTGGTTTTTATACTTTGAATACTAATGGGTCGTTAATGACCCGATAAGAAAATGTTTTGTTGGAATGTACATCCAATTATAATCGTAAATAACGTATATAATAGGATATTTCGACCGTTACATCATCGTTAGAGCATAAATTATAGTAAAAACTGGTTTAGGCGAGTGGGTCGTTAATGGCCCAGTAAAATATTTTTCGATATTTTTGATACCACTTGATTGGTAACGTCGATTGTCACTATTTCTTTAAAAAATATAGCTTTTAAACTACTTACTTCATCGTATGACGTTAGATTAAAGTAAAAACTGGTTCAGGCGAGTGGGTCGTTAATGACCCAATAAAATAATTTTCGATATTTTTGATACCACTTGATTGGAAACGTTGATTTTAACTATTTATTCAAAAAATTGAACCTCTAATATACTTACAGGAGCTGTACCTGATATAATTGTAAATGGGTCGTTTACGACCCGGACGAGAGGGTCGTATGCGACCGCAGTTAGGACACAGCATCTAGCTCTGCTTGTGAACATCTGATTTTCACGGGCTTTTCACTGACTTTTAGGAAATCGTTGCCCGCAACTTTTTTCGCATAGCACCCATGGCCTTCATGAAGTTTTAATGGCCCAATAGAGGCCAGAAGTTAATTGGAATAATTTCCAATTATCACGACTAATTAACCTAATTATCTAATTGTTAGTCACTCATTAGGCCCATATTCCGAAGTGAATAATGTAGCCCAATAGATTTTAAACATTCGTGCATAAAATTTGTGTAATCAAGTATTTTGGTTTGTCATCTACAGCCTCTAGAAAAGATGAGTCGTAAACGACCCTATCGTCCCTAATGGGTTAAAGTAAACCATCTTAAGGGGACATACACCAAAAGCTTTTATGCCCTGGCCCTGCTGTTAACGTCATATTAAGAAAGTATACATAAAAACAATAAGATTTGATACATTAAAAATTATTTTTGAGGACCCGCACTTTCGAAAAAATAAATATTTTCTTTTTCGAAATTTTTGGAAATTTTGAGAAGTCTGTCACTGTAATACCGATATTTCGGTCATTTTAAACGTTTATTGACTGATTTTTTAACTGAACATTATTTATAATCCGTACAAGAAGCCCTTCAAAGGATTTTATAATTAAAATATAGATGACGAAGTTACAGACCAAACAAGGTCGAGAGAAGCAAAATTGAAATATTTGTAAAAATCAAAGTTGTATATTTTACCATTCACCCAGGTCATAAGATATCGCTTCAAAAATTCTTGTGAGTGTAGCTGATGATCATATCCAACTTTTTGGAACAGGATTTCTCTCAATTTTGAGTTTTAAGGTATGAAATGTGGCCTCAAAAGACTTAGTAAAATTCATCGTAAAAAGGGCCAAACATGGCAGATTTAAGGCTTAAAATGCCTATAACTCACAAAGTGTCAGTTTTTTTGAAATAATTTGTACAGGATCGTAATCAGCTTGGTAAGACGAATCTTTTAGTACCAAATTTATAATAGTTAAAGACACAAAATTTGTAAAAAAATTTGTACAAAATTTATACAAGGGGGGACCCTTGTGTTCGAGCTAGAAAATTATTTAAGACAATTTGTCTTCTAAAATCACCTATTTGGTACTAAAAGATTTGTCTTCTCAAGCTGATTACGATTCTGTAAAAATTATTTCAAAAAAACTGACACTTTGTGAGTTATAGGCATTTTAAGCCTTAAATCTGCCATGTTTGGCCCTTTTTACGATGAATTTTACTAAGTCTTTTGAGGCCACATTTCATACCTTAAAACTCAAAATTGAGAGAAATCCTGTTCCAAAAAGTTGGATATGATCATCAGCTACACTCACAAGAATTTTTGAAGCGATATCTTATGACCTGGGTGAATGGTAAAATATACAAATTTGATTTTTACAAAAATTTCAATTTTGATTCTCTCGACCTTGTTTGGTCTGTAACTTCGTCATCTATATTTTAATTATAAAATCCTTTGAAGGGCTTCTTGTACGGATTATAAATAATGTTCAGTTAAAAAATCAGTCAATAAACGTTTAAAATGACCGAAATATCGGTATTACAGTGACAGACTTCTCAAAATTTCCAAGAATTCCGAAAAAGAAAATATTTATTTTTTCGAAAGTGCGGGTCCTCAAAAATAATTTTTAATGTATCAAATCTTATTGTTTTTATGTATACTTTCTTAATATGACGTTAATAGCAGGGCCAGGGCATAAAAGCTTTTGGTGTATGTCCCCTTAAGACGTTTTAAGGTTTTTATCAAAATTTACTAGCTAATTAAGAAATTAATAACGCGGTTAATAACTTGCTCGAAATTTTCGATAATTGAGCAAGTAATTAACCTATTCACAACTATAATTGGGTTCAATCATAGTTGTTAATAGCTTAAGTCAGAATAAGTTAGAATAATACTGGTCATCTCTTGATAATAAGCAGAGCACAAAATGAGGGCCGTGCCACAAAAACGGAGAATTCATCCTTTGCCAGATACAGCTTGAAATAAAAACAGAAATTGTACATTTTAGTTTACCAGATTGATGCAATATTATTGCATCAATCTGGACAGTGAGTAAAAACTAGAAAGGAAATGATCTACAAAAACTTTTTACTTTACTTTAACCGCATCACTCACGTTTTCAACAATTTGGTCAAATTGTTACTTTAGTACACTAAAAGTATCACCCATGGAGATTATCAAGGAGATAAGAATGTGGTGACGAGGAGACAGGAATGTGGGTAAGAATTTTTAGGACAACGATAGCGAGAAGAAATAATTTGACCAGGAAACAATTTATCTTAATAATGGATTTTTGAAGAGTACAACTTTTTATTTAAGTTGTACGTGATTTAAATTTGCATTTAAATACTCAAGTGCAACATTGGGAGTAAAACTTAACGTGTACTTAAAATAGCGTGAACCTTCATATTAGTGATAAGAGAAACGCAATTGTCGGACGTGAGCAGAGTAAGAACTACATTAAATATATTCCTTCTGCAACATCCTCAATAAATGTAATAGATTTGTAGTGTTGTAACTAGTATATTATAATTAATTAGTAATTAGTATATTATGGTGCGTTTTTGAAGCGTGATTTTAATCGAGACTTATTTAAACCCTAAAATTTAGGGCTTGATATCGCATTTTATATTGCATATAACTTGTATATTTCTTGTCATTATTTAAAAACATAATATCTCGTACCAGAATGTGATTTGTGCCTTACATTCTTTCGAAGTTTTAGATGCCACTCCCTGGTATGGCATATTTTCCATGATTATTCTACCACTCAACTCTGTGATCAACCCTTTACTTTACGGTGTGACAGAAAAGATTTCATATCATGTCTGCCAAAACGTAAACTTTATTATTTAAGGTCTACATTAAGCTGTTTTTTTTTGTAAATTTACTTTTAATATTGCATAAATTTATTGGCATTATTTTGAGAACATAATATCTCGTAATACTATGTGTAAATAAAATTAATTAAGTTCAGACTTAAAATAGTCTGTATCTTTGATTCAATAATTGAATAGGAGAATAAGAATAAGAGATTTTTAAAGAGGGACGAATACCTGAGGATAACGTAGAGGTCACGCATATTAGTGACGTAGAGGTCACGCGTATTGATGAGGTAGTGGTCACGTGTTGTATGGACATAGAGGAGTAACTAAGAATTATAGCTCTAGTTACTCTAACAGACACATAACACTGATGTGTCAGGTTTCTTTTCGACCAAAAGTAATAATCAACATTACGTTGGTGTTAATAAGATTATTTTACTTAAGTTCTTAAATAGAACATAATATGATAACCAACATTTG